TTTGGGGTCAAAATAGTAATTTCAGACTACAGCACCTTAAACCTGCATTTTAATTTGTTATTTCATCACTAGTGTTGTTCCAAGCTTTTGGAATTAATAATATCACCTCTAAGCTCAGCCAAACCCATATTTCCCCCACCTTTTTGATTCACACCTCTCCTGGTTTCATTAATAACTGATTATATTGGAAGAGCAAATAGCAGAGTGAAGAATTTCCTTGTGTTGAGAAGTAGCTTTATCTTGCAGATTTTTTTTCATTTGAAAATCCCAGTGGAGAAGTTTGTATTTCGATACTCTCTGATGTTCCAAAGATAAATTATAGCATGTGTTGAAACTTGGAAAGCTGCAGCTTCAGGGAGCCCCATGGGCCAGAGACACGGAGGTAGAAAATATGTAGGCACCACCTTTGACACATCCAAGTCTTGCTGTGGCCACTGTGCTTCTGTGTATAAGGGCTGGCTCACAGACCAGAATTCTGTGCAGTGACCATCATGGCTCCAGCAACTGAGAGATAAGTATTACAAAGCCAGATGAAAATATGGTGACTCAATTTACTGCCCTTTCTTTCCTGTTATTATTCCTTATCAGTAATACAGTACCAATCCTATAACTCTTAAATAATTTGTTTTGCAACAATATTTAAAACAATATTATAACCATGAAAGGTTTGATACTATAATATATATATATGTGTGTGTGTGTCATTAAAATACCTTTATATTCTAAAACTTAAAAGTAGAAAAAATGGTTTTCCATTTTATTTAACATTCTCTGACTCTTCTCACTCCGCTCTCACGAGGTGATCTCATCCACTCTGGTCGCTTTCAATACCACCTATGGGCTAACACCCCCCAGAGCTCACTCCTGAGTATGTCCACTAATTATCTTGACATCTTTATGATGGCTGTATCACAGGTATCTCCGTTTAAGCATGTGTGAAACTTGAGTCTTGACTTCCCACCATCCTTTCAGTATAAAAAAATTTTCTTCCTTATTGTTATTAGACACCAGTAAAATGCCTCACTGGCCAAGAAAGGAGAGTTGAAGGTGCTGTCCTTGCCACTCCCTCTACTTTCCTCTCCATCTGTTCAATCACCAAACCACATCAAGTCTATCTCATAAGTATTACTCATCTGCTATGTTTTCTCCACTTTCAGTGCCCCTGCTCCAGCTCACGTTACTCTTATGCTCCAGTTCAGGTTATCATTATTAACTCCAAAATCCATATTCCCCAGAGCAACCATGAGGATTGTCCATCTTCCCCAACAGGGATAATTTTTAACTACAAATCTGATCAGGCTTCCCATGACATCGAGAACAAAGTTGAAGATCTTAAGATGACCTGTTAGACTTTGCTTGATTCATCACTCCAGTCTCAGCTCCAGCTTCTCTCTTCATCACTGTGTACCAGTTCTCTTACCTTGAATGTGACAGGCTTTATACCTCAGGGCCTTTACACAGATTTCTCTGCTTGCAATACTTCCGTGATCCAACACACACACACACACACACACACACACACACACTCTCTCTCTCTCTCTCTCTCTCTCTCTCTCTCGTCTCAGTCTCAGTCTCAGTCTCAGTCTCAGTCTCAGTCTCAGTCTCACACTCACCTGGTTAACTGCATTCAAGCTTCAGGCCATTTCTTTTATGCAAGTTGTCTTTGACTTTCCAGTCTGTGCTAGGTTTCTCTGTTGTGTGCTCTCATAAGCACTTTTTACTTGCTTAAGGTGTGTAATTGATGTAGATAGTCACCTGTTCCATATTTCCATATTTGTCTTCTCTAGTTAGGAGGCCAGATGAGGCCAGGTGCAATCATTGTTTTGCTTGGGGCTGAATTCCTATATAAATATTTATTGAATGAATAAATGAATGGCTCCATATAGATAAATATTTGTGCAATTGAATATCTTCTTTCATTCCAAACTTGAGCTGGCTTCTCTGGAGAGAGTATATATGAAAAGGATATTATGTTGGGAAAAGGCTGTTGTACTTTTGGAGTAAAGTGGCCAAAGTACACAGGTTTTGGATCAAGAATGATGCCTGTTTTAGGCAGAAAAGAGGAACAGGTACTTATTCGAATTCAACACACAACATATGCTGGTCAACATATGGAGCTGGAAATAAAATACAAGAATACTACAGTGACTGATTTCATTCATTGTTTTTTCTTTTTTTAAACACAACTCATTGGGTACTAATTGCCAGGCATTATCATCACTGCTTGCAGAGAACACCCAGTGTGGACATAGATAAAGAGATCACAGATAATACCAGAGCGTGATAGTGCTATATTAGAGGGGTGCATAGGATACTGTGGAAACATGGCTTTGGAGGAAAGTAATTTGGCCTCTTTCCTGGAAGAAAGCACACTTAACGTGAGTTTGAGAGTGATGTAGACAAGCAGAAGGGTATACTTTTTTCTTATTTTTGATCTGGATCTATTTTTTCCATTTCTGTGGTAACGATATAGTATTCTGTTCTACTTTAGCCCAAAGCATTCTCTAGAATTCTTTATATTTCTTACTTTAATGGCTTGCCATTCTATAGTGTTAGAAAGGAACAAAAATAAGGTGGCTTCTTCCACAGTGCCCACATTTCTTGAAGACCAGGCTGATGATGCCCCCTCCTTTTTTAAAGGAATTGAATTCAGTATTCAAACATAAGCCCCCTTTCTGTCAGTTTAGATCTACTGTAAGCTAACAATTGGTACTTTTGTCTTTACATTGCCGTATAGCAGAAATACTTTTCTGTGCCATTAAAACTGTGCTATACCACCACCTAGACCAGACTGTGCCGTTTGCTTATCGGTGCTCAACATGAAGACCAACAGGCCAGTTGTGTCTTGGTGTCTCCTGTGACCTCTTTCCCTGCCATCTGTGCCAGCCTGCTGGCCATTTCCTCAGTCTCTCAGGAAAACAACTTGGTTTCTCTTCTTTCCCCTTCAGTGACCCCAGATTTCATTTCCACACCCCACCACATGGCAGTGAGTGATTTAAATATATTTTGTTAATGATTGTGGGTGCACCATCTGAATTGAGACTTCTAAAAACTGTAATGGCACATACAGAGCAGTTGCCTGGTTTTCTGCTACATCAGAAAGTTTATGAAAACTAATAGATATGTGTTTATGAAGTTTCTCTCCATTAAGCTTAATCTAGAGATTTACTCATAGCAAGAGGCCATCTAGCTGAAAATTACCAAAGCATGGGAAAGGGTTTCACTTTTACTTTGAGCTTTATACATTGATGTATTTTGGTGGATATAGTCAAAATTTGCTTTTTCTAAGCAGAACACCCTGTCGTGTAATTTTTGCACTTTTTAAAAATCTCTGAAATTCTGTAAATATTCCAGGCTAGAGGAACTGAGACACTGAAACAGGTGGCTTAACAGGGAGAGCATATGGGCTGACTGGCTGTTCTCCCTCGGGCTCTAGCCCCAGTGTGTTCACGTCTCAGGGAACGTGTGTAGTGTGTTGTCTTCAGGCTTTCAAAGACTAAGGAGGATATTAAACCACACACACCACCACTCACAATGTGAACTGTATTTACCGGGGAGAGGCAATATGTAAATCTAATGGAAGGCATTGTCTTAACCCAACAAATGTGCTCCGCCTTTAAACCTTATGTATCTCTCGCCTTTTTCTACCTATCTGACCTGGAGAACCTGCAATCATCATCGATTCTCTCTTCTCCCTTTCCCACGCTCACCTATCACTCACTGGGTTCTTCTAAGCATCTATCACCGTCTTTTTAGTGTTCCTTCCTTCTGTTTTATGTTCATTGTCCCTTTCTCCATCCAGGCCCCCACTCCATCTGTTTGGACTGTTATTCTGATCTATTAGGTCTCTCTATCCCGCCCCCC